GAGGAGCAGGTGTACCCTCAGCTGTGCCCAGGCCCAGGGTCCCCCCTTGTACCATTCTCCTGTGAGGCTTAGAATTCTCAGTGTCACTTCAGGGAAACATGGCAGACCAGATATTCCCCCCCCGCCCAGAATGCAAACCCAAGGTTGAAGCTCAAGGGTTCGCTTCTTCTGAAAGGCTCTGCGAACTGCCATTCTTTGGTTAAATTCTAAAAGGAAGCTTAAATTCAGGGGCATGTCTGCAATGACCACATCAGAGGCGCAAGCCATGTTTTTAAAAACCTCGAGATTTCATTCTAAAAACACCAGGGGGTTGGTTTGGTTTGGTTTGGTTTGGTTTGGGAAAAGATGGGAAAGAGAAGACAAGGGAGGTTTTGTTGACTTTTGGTAAAAATCCATTCACCTCTGCATCGAACAGCACGTTTACGCTCCCTTTCCCACCGCGCCCCTTGTCATTCCGTGTATAACCTCCACGAAAACCTACAGAAGAGCACTGCGTGGGAAAGCTGTCATCATCCTTCAGTGGCTTGAGAAGGGCGTTTCCCCTCCCCAGCACGAAACCCACCTGTAAGAGTTATAGAGGGAGCTGAACACACCCACCACGATGAAGCATTTGTGCTTCCGATCATTCAACATTATTCTCAGAAAGAGTCGGGTGTTAACAACACTAATGCTACATTAACTGAGTAAATAGTAGTTGCTCAGTAAAGGCCTATTGCCTGGAACTGAAAGTTATCAGCAAGTGTGGGAGCACAAACAGAAGTTTTCCTGTAGACCGGCAGGTAGACTTTAGCTCTGCCCTGGGCCCCTTGTCCTCAACCTACTCTTCCTTGAAAATGCATGCTCATGAAGACACACCAACACACAGAATCCTAGACCTTTAGAGATGAAAAAGAGACCTTCTTGGTGCACACAAACCCAGTTTCAGGCTGCAGAGAAACTCAGGAGAAGACTGCTTCCTACAGGCAACAGAGTCAGCCAGGGACGCATCTCCCTGCTTGTGTAATCCATGTGCAGGACATATGCTGTGAAAACTGGGCTAGACTCAGAGAAAGGCGGACTGGAAACTGGTGGAAGAAATGGCAATAACTTAGGAGATGCAGATGATCCCGTCTTACTGGCAGAAAGCAGGCATGCTCTGAAACAACTTCTCAGGAAAGTGAAAGGAGAAAGTGCCGAAGCATGGCTGCACTTGAGCATCAAGGAGACAAAATCATGACTGCAGAAGCAATGCATGACTTTACCATGACCATGAAGACACTGAAATTGGCACAGATTTTGCTCACTTCGACTCAGTCATCAATTCCCGTGGAGACGGCAGCCAAGAGGAGGCTGAGCCTCTGAGGGGCAGCGACAGAAGAATCAGGGAAGATCCCCGAGAGCAAAGATGTGTCAACACAGACCAAGGCCAAGATCACTCACACCCTCCTGTTCTCAACTACTACGTACAGACGTGGAAGTTGGACAGTGAAGAAGGCTGATAGGAAACAAAGCCACATTCATTGCAAATACGGTGTTGGAGAACAGCGCAATGGGCACCGTGGACACTGGAAAGACCACCAAGGGGTGCAGGGCATAGGAAGCCTGGAACGTCCCTGGAGGGGACAAAACCAAAGCTCTCCTCCTTCAGGCGTGTCATAAGGAAGCTGGGTTCTTTGGAAAAGACAATAATTCTGGGGAAAACAGGAGGCTGAAGGGAAAGAGGAGACCAAATGCGAGATCGATTGTCTCCATAAGAGAAGCCACAGGGAGGAGTCCCCAGGAGCTGACCAGGGCTGTGGAGGGAGGACAGGACATGGCAGACCCACCCCGCTCACCCACGGGGTCACCAGGAGTCGGAGCTGAGTCAACAGCACTCGACACACAAGCAGTGCTTCCAAGCCGTCTGCGGTCCAGAGCAGCCCTCAAGCTGGGAGCTCAGCTCCCCCAATATCACATTTATCTTAATTTGGCAAGAGGCTGAAAGCCTATCTGGGGCCATTTAAACTCTAATGTTATTAAGGGCTCATCTAATCAGCTTTTAAAATAAGCTGCTTTCAAATGCATGGGGAACGAAGGTAGGGGAGCAGCAGGCCGAGGGAGGCAGCTTGGGAAGCGCCCCTCTGTCTGAGGGGCGGAGCAGCCAGCAGACAGCCGGAGGCTTTCCTCTTTGTGACTTCTGCCCCTCCAACAACAAACCACGCTGGTGAACGGCCACTTGTAAGTACAAGGGGAGAGGGCTTTTCTGGACAATCCACGCTCTCTGTGAAGTCAGTTGCACACGTGTGGCAAGGCTTGGCAGAGAAAGTTGACCAGCCTCCGTTCCGGGAAGTGGCTGTGAGATTTGACCGACAGCAGCTTATGCTTCTGAGAACTACCTCTGAACACCACATCCTGCAGACTTCTGAGAAGGCCCACCCTCAGGAGGCCAGCAGGACCCCTGCCTGGACCACTGGCGATTGGTAGCTGGCCTCAGGGAGGCCCCTCACATCCAGCTTGGGTTTGAAGGGACCTCCACCAGGCCCAGGCTGAAAGAGAACTTCACCCTGGTGTGTTTATGGCGCTCATGTGCTCGGGGACGACAAATCTGATTTTTGACACCAGTTCTGATGTGGGTTTTTATCTTCCCCCAAACCAAGCGGTTCTCTGCAACATTCACTTCTGACACTCTACCCAGAGAGAGCGTCAGACCCAACAGGTTGGGGACTCAGTCCCACAGGACTGTCCTCCACTTCAGATGGCAGCCACAAGTCCAAGTTGTCACCTATGCTTCTGAGTGACTGGCTACAGGTTGGAGGGTCCCATGCCCCCCTCTCTGGGTTCAGTTAATTTGCTGGAGCAGCGCACAGAACTCAGGAAACTGGCTTGCTCTCTAGATTGCCGGTTTGTTACAAAGGATATTATTAAAGGACACAAATCAACAGCCCAAGTGAACAGCCTGATGAAGACCCCTCCCACTCCAGGGAGCCTCTCTGTTCTCATGGAAGCTCTGTGAACCCTGACCTTCTGGTGACTGATTAAATCATTGGTCACTGGTGACTGAAATCTCCAGCCCTTCTCCCCGCCCCATAGATAGAGAGGCAGGACAGAAAATTTCAACCCTTCAGTTATATGTTTGGGTCCCCAGGCAACCAGCCCCCATCCTTAGGGGATTTCTGAAAATCACCTCGTCCACATAGGGGTGGTTGAAAGGTGCTTGTTATAAATATCAATACATTTTTACTTCTCTTATCGCACTTAGGAAAGGTCAAGGGTTCCAGAAGCTCTGTGCCCAAAACAAGATGGAGACCACTATGTATTTCTTATCGCACATCACAGTGTCACCGGGGACATCCCAGGCCCTGCTGTAAACATCGGGCTTGCCCTCGCCTTTCAGACAGGTCACTGACTCAGCCTGCAGGCTGCTCCCCGGGAGGCCTGGGGCAGGACTGGGCTCGCTCCAGAACCTGGGCGAGGTTTCTCTTCCTCCTGCCCACCCTCCGCACACAGGGCTCCCGGGCCCCCAGGTGGGGTCCTGGGCCCCTCTGTTGCCCTCCCCATCCCTTCATCAGAACCTTCAGGTGCCAGTGCTGATGACAATACGTGGGTGTTTTGTCTAGTGAATAACTGGTCTCCCCTTTACACCAATATTCCTTAAATATTTACTCAACATCGATTTAGAGGATGGCAGCACCCTAGGTCTCATGCTCCCACTGAACTCAGCTCATTCAGAAGTCAGTGTCAAGAGCACTATTTTTGTCTAAGCAAGTTTCTCTTTGGGGGCAGGGGGACCTTCATCTTTTTACGCAAATGGTTTGTCCAATACTCTTTAGCTGCACAAGTACGTTGTCTGAGCAGAGTGCTGATGAGTAAACATATCTCTGCCTTCACACATTTCCAGTGATGCTTTCGTGACAACCACCTCTAGTTGCTGCCCAGATGGTCCACCTGTGCCAGCTCCGCTTGGCTGCAGGGGACTTAGTGTCCACCAGCTATTAGCCTGGAAACAGGAAATTAAGCAATTCGCTCTTAAGTGTGAATGGCTGATAGCCAGCTTGGTTCAATGATGTCTCTTGTGAGTCTGTATGTTCAGAGGTGTTTTAAATGGCCTTGGCACTAGTCAAGTGTCCCCAGGTACGGTAGGATGTCCCAAAGGACACTCTGGGTTGATTTCAACGTGGGACTTCTTACCACTATCCAGTGATGGGTAATGGGTGCATGGTGCATCTGAGGAAGGAAATGAGTTTCTTCCTGAACAAACTAGTGATCACATGAACAAATGGAGGGAGAAGGCTGGTGGGTGTATTATCACTGTTTTGTGCAATGAGAAAGGGCCTCACTTGTTTCAAAAGTTCCCAATTCAGACTATGGAGTTTCAGCACCAGGGAGAGCTATTCAGGGTCACCGAGTGCCTGTCAGCCTGTCAGCTCTGCGAACCCTGAGCGCTTTCTCCCACGGACTGCTTTTAGACGTTACCATTTCAACCCAAAAATTCTTTAGACACATATATGCAGTGTTCAGACGGAATTAGGAGAGCTTTTAAATTAAAAGAAATAAAATGACAGGTTTTTTTTCTCGTTTACCCATATAAATAGTTACGGATAAAGATAAAGAGATGGATATTTTTTTTTCAGTGTGCTTATTTGGGTCTTGGAACTCCAGAATTGGTTAAGTCAAGTGGGTGAATAATTTAGCGCCTGATTCATGCAGGCCTAGTGTGGGTGCAGTTGGGCTAGAGAATCAAGTTCAAGTTCGTGGAGGGGCTGAGTGCAGTAACACACTTTTATTACCAACCACATCATGAAATGCACTTCAGAAATATGTTACGAGAAGCCCGAACCTTGGCGTCTGGTTTCCCCAGCCTTTTCCAAGGTGACCTGAAGCCCAGGGAGCTAGTGCACCCCACCACCTCATTGCAGGGGGACCGTACCCCAGGCTGTTGTTACAACAACAGAATCTCAAATCCCCAGGAGTGAGCAATGACCAGTGAAAGCCTCACACTGGGCCTTGCGATGATAGGTAATAAAAGGTTCAGAAAATGGTACCTTTAGTGATGGGCTCTTTGATGCTTTCTCTTCCCTGCAGGTCTTTAATCCTAACGCCCACACGAACCGGGCCTCCACGAGGCTATGATGATATGGGTTCCTGCAACAGGAATGGGGAGGAAAGAGATGCATTTGTGGTTTCAAAATAAGGAACCGTGGTCTCCCCTTCCATTCCAGTGCTGCACCTTTTCGACACCCAGGGAGGTACCCAGTGCTGATTTCAATTTTGAGAGGGAAGGGAAGGAGAAAGGAAAATGTTGCCCCTAGCTCCCCCAACAGCAGCCAGGTTAAAGCGAACTCTTATTTATTACGTTATTGCCCCTCTCCAGAGAGTTCTATTTGTTTCAGTAATTTTCTTTTATGCATTCTAATAGCTTTGCAATAAAGTGGTAAATACTTAAGGCAAAAAACTGTACAGAATGGTAAGTCCAGAAAGGTGTTTTATGTAACAAATCGACTCTGAGATCTTTGAGGGTGGCTATAGTCCCACATTTAGGTGGTCTGATGTGACAAAAGCTTGACACTTCCTCCGGGAGGCCACTCATCCCCCCTAAACCCAGGGCCCTCTGATGTCCTTAACCTCTGAGGACTTCCTAAGACATAAAGGTCACCACTTTGTGAAGATCTTCTTTTGAGCTGTTCTCACTCTGGATTCTTAACCCCACAAGGGCAGACTCGGTCCGGCTCACTGCTTCTTAGCTCTTGTCCCAACTACAATGTCAGCACAGAGCAGTTCAAAGCAGCAGCAACATCTATGGCAATGGGGAGTTTCCGTGGCTGCAGTTTGTGAGTCTCATTAAGTATGGCTCCTACATAGAACTTGGGCCAGGTGCCCCTACACGATTCCCAGGGACCACTGACACAGTCCCCTGCAGGGTGGTTCTGCCTGTGAGGGCTCGCTCCCCACAAACCCCTCTCCAAAGGCCATGCTGAGCCTCAGAGGTCTCACTGAGAGGCATCCAAACAGGGTGTATTTGCAAAAAATTAAGTAGCATCGGACAGCGGAAGGAGCAAGCCTCTGGCTAAGGTGCAGGCTTGCTCGTCCAAGTTATTCCTGAAAAAAATCAATCTTCCCCGGAGGACCTGCGGGAACCTCGGAAATGGGAGGAAGTAGAAAGATCACTTAGTTCTGGAAGGGCGAGCAGATTCCATTCTGCTCCCTGCCGGGCAGGGCAGTGTGGACTACAAAAGGGCTGGGTGCGTTTTCACTCCAGTTCTAAACCGGCTGCTCGCCAATCCGACGAGTGGCAGGCCCTTTGGACAGTGTCGTTTGGACAGCGGCTGCCCCAAATCTGCAGCCTCTTTTCCTAGCAGGTAGTTCTGACATTACACGACCTCTCTTTCCATGAAGTTAAACCCCCATCCTTTCTGCATCCACCTGTTGACCCGATTTCTTCTCATCGTCTCTGTGGGGGGTGGCGGGAGGTGCCCTCGCCCTAGGAAAGCTCATCCAATCTCTCTCGAAACAACTAAGTCAAAAGTCACCCAAAGGGATGGCAAAATCCTCTTTAGGTCATTAAACACTGACACCTTCAACATGCTGTTTCATTGCCATTTCTCCAACGAGAGGTGTAGACATGGTCATTCCTTCATTCAACTCCCAGTTATATTTTTCACTTTAAATTTCTTTCTGTGGCGTTCTTAAAATTATTGAAGTAATACGTGCTCATCGTAATAAGTGGATTCAGATGAAGATACACACAGAAAAAGTCCACTCTTTCCCTCCAATCCCAGCCCTTCAGGTAACACCCTCACAGACAAGGACAGACAAGAACAGCTCCTGCAGAGCTGTCCGAAGTCAGGTTCACGAGAAGGAGACTGAGACGGTGCCTTTGCACAAAGGTGGACCGGGCGCGCTGATACCTGGGACTTCCTCCCCTGGGGGAGGGAGCACAGGGAGCGGGACTGGCCAGAGGAACTCGGGAGCTGGCCTCTGGCCCCCACCATCCTTTGCATGTGAGCTGCTCCCCTCCCCGGGGAGGGGACAGCCACGACCTTAGGCATAGCACCTCCCTTTCGCTGAGAGCGACCCCTGAAGAGGAGCTCAGCTGTGGGCTGTCAGGGCCGACACTCCTAGCAGCCAGAGGGGGGTGTTGAGTGCCTCTGTTTGGGGGCACTAAACAGCACCCACCACACCCACCCTCTCTTGTGCTCCTTTAAACCTAATTATGCACAAACATACAGATACATGGAGTATTTTGTTTACAGCTTTTAACTGAAATCCTCTGTGATGTGTTCTGTCTCAACATATATACATACATCATCATTTTCCCCTGATTTGGTGATGCACACATACCTGTACTTGACCTACACAAAGACCGTATCAGATACCAGGCATTTTTAGTGCAGTCGCCTTATTTTTTTTCTGTGTTGCCTGCCTCTCCGCACCTCCCCTCCTCCTGCACCGTCCACATCGCTCTCCACCCCATGGGGACAGCATGGAATGGGGACTTTTGTACTTGCCCTCATGCTCATATAACCACAGACATACGTGTGTGGGTGGGAGTAAATGCACTCTGGTGTTTGGTCACGGGCGCAGCCACTCAGGATGCGGCCACTGTGTGCCAGGCACTGGGCGCAGAAGAGGGCGGAGCCTCTGCCGACGAAGGAGAGGGACGTGGACTGGCGGTTACAACCGGAGGAAGTCACTGAGGGAAGCACACACCACACGCGGAGTATGCAGAGAATCAGAACTAGACTGCGGGGCTCCGGTGCCTGGTCTTGGGTACGCTTTTCCATTTTACCGGCTTAAACTAAAAGAGGGTTCAAACTGTGCCCTGCACGATGGCCAGGCTGAATTCGAGCAGGCTTGTGCTGGCCTCCCTGACGTCACCACCACTGCTTGTGGCAGCAGAAGGCTCAGCGCGCTCCCAGCATGCTGGCCCCCGTGATGCATTCGGCACCGGCTCACGAAGCGACCCATCTGACTTGGGCACAAGCCGTGCCACCCTGAAAAGACATCACATGGAAGCCTGTCCTTGGAGTAGATTTTCATATAACTGGAGGGCAGGGAAAGGATGATTATATTTATATATGAATTAATAATACATCATAACTCCTTTCCCCCTGGTTATAAGCTGGTGGGTCACACTGTGGGCAAGCGTGCCTGCGGCAACAAGTTCCAGAGGCGAGAGACAAACACCGAGTGCTTCCAAATCCTGTTAGTCTAACACACTTCCGGCGGGGGTGGGGGAGCAGAGGGGGTGGGGACGTGGAACCCGAGAGGTGTCTGTGCAACACAAGACTGAAGAGCAAGGCAGCCGGGCTCCCCAGCAACTTCAGCGCAGTGAGGTGTCCTTGCTGCCCATTCTCCGCGCCCCTCACTCACCTGTACTTCCCTCCAAGTGCCCAACCTTTTGTTCATTCTGCTCCTGGGGCCAAAGCGTAACAGCTCATCACTGGAAAAAAAAGTACTTTCCCTGTGAAACATGGCCCGAACATGTGTGTTCTGTTTTCTTTCCTCATCAGGGGCTGATCCTGCTCCTACTCAATGTGTGTGTTCAGGAGCCCAAGGGCCTGGGCTGGACTTCCTCACGGCGGGTGAGGGGCCCTGCTCTGATGGCCCAGGCAGGCCCTGTGGATCTGGGCAGTGCAGAGTACAGCCCAGGGGGCCCTGTGAGCCCCAAGCACAGATTTCCCCCAAAGCCCTGTGATTTTCCCCCTTTGGCCCCAGTGAATCATGGGCAGAAGACAGACGCTGCCAGGCCAGGTGAGATGCAGCAACTCAAACCTGCACACTTCAAGGCACAGTTCATTTTGCTATCCTGCGTACACCCTGGTACTTGGTTGGTTCAGGGTTGTTTATTGCAAATTGCTGGCCGTCTTCCTGTAAATAGCCTCGTGATTGCAAGGACGCTGATCAGCTCCCTACATAAAACTGCCCAATATTCTAAAGTACTGTCCATTGATGTTTTTTCTCAATTCTCACAGCAGTCCAGATTGTGAATGGCCAACAAATTGTACCTAGTCGTCCTGATGAGAAAGCGGGGAATTTCGGCAGCAACCGGTGATCTAACCTATGCCTGGCTGCCAAACTCACAAGCTCGCCCGCCTGATGGGAGCAGGAATGACTGCAGTTCACGGCTTCTACTTTCAGGCACCAAATCTGAACGTTTCTTAGAAGGATTTCTCTGAGCCATTGCTACTGGCAAGACGTGGAAAGTTCATGAACACAAAATTATTACCTGTGGCTGCAGAACCACTTACCCCCAAACCCACTGGCTTGAAGAAACATTTACTGCCTCGTGGTTTCTGTGGGTCAAGAATCCAGAAGTGGTGTATCTGGGTGGTTCTGGCTCAAGGTCTCACGTGAAGTTGCCGCTAAGATGCCAGTGAGGGCTACTGCCATTGAAAAACGTGCAGGGGCTGGAGGATCAGATTCCAAGGTGGCTCACTTGTGTGGCACTGGGATTGCAGGAGGCTGCCCCAGCCGGGCCTCCGTGGGCTGCCTGAGTGCCTTCGCAGCCTGGCTGGCTTTCCCCAGGGCGAGCAGGGGCAAGCGACCCAAGAGAGGTGGGTGGAAGCTACAGTGATTTTCATGACCTTCCTTACCATCATTTCTGCACCACCCCACTGGTTACACAGACTGTCTGCATTTAATTAGGAAGGAGGCAACACAAGGGGACGAATACTAGAAAGCAAGAATTCATTGGGGGTTGTCCTAAAGGCCAGCTACCACAAATGCTTTTTCCCTTCCTCAACCACGATGAAGGTCAGAGAGAAAACGGGTCAGAGAAAACACGTTGCTTCTTGCATCTCCGTGGAGCAACACATGGAAGCATGTGGAATTCGGCTCAAATACTAGCTCTTATGAGCCACACTCTCTTGGAAAAAAAATATGTACTCAGTTCCTTTTCTAATCTGTAACATGGGAATAATGACATTTCCTTACAGGGCTGCTATGAGGATTAACTTCGGTAATAGATATAAAAGGCTTAACTCAGTGCATGCGAGAAGGTTCAAAACTTGTTAGTTCCTCTCTCTTTACCTCTTATTCCACCACCTGAACGATGTGGTTAAATGTCCCCAACCAAGAGTCAGTCTTGCTCCTCCGGTTTCCAACCCAACGGAGGGCCTCAGCCTTGGCAATTTTTATCTTTC